TATCTCAAGCTCATCGGAATATATCGTGTCGACATAAGAATGGTGTCGGGTTGAAGGCCACAGCAAGTGTTTTCTTCTTTTCTCGTAAAAGATTTTGAACAAATTCTGCTTCATATGAATACAAAAATAGGTCTAATAACGGGGCGCAATTGGTACCCATGGGAATTCCAACAGATTTTTGAAAAACTTGGTCTTCAAAAACCACAAAGATATTGTCAATCAAATTGATTGATTGTATGTTGTTTTACTTCCCATTCGAAAATTTTTCACTGATATAGAGACGTCACCATATACCGGTGAAGGGCTTTAAATTTTGACCTTTTACTCGGCACACAGGGCCATGGAGCAGTGCCAACGTCTGCCGTGACACGGGACCTCGGTTCTTAGGGTCTCATCCGAAGGACCCGCAACTTTCACTTCAAAGTGCCGAGTGCATGGCGAAGGAACAGTTGCTACCCATATTTTTTCGACTTAGGTCAGTCGCGGCAGAGATTCGAACTCACGACCTCCCGATCACGGAGCGAGCACTCTACCGACTGAGCTACCGTGAACGGTGATATTGTCAATCAGAAACTCGAGCATCTTTTTAATGTCAACTTCAGAGCACTTGTGTGTGCAATCAGATTGTTTTTAACAAAGTAATTTTGCAAATGTCCAATGACAGGGAAGGTAAATTTACGAGGTATTTTACCAGAAAATAGATTTTCAAATTTAAATTTCGTCGTGGTCAAATGATTTTGGAGAACTCCTGAACTTAGAAAAAATAAGAAATTTTCAGTTTCTGCTCCTTAACCTTTGTAGGGATGTATGTAAAAAGGTTGAAGTTGCATATGCAGGTATTTTATCAGAAAATATGGGTCAAGTTTAACTATAAATTTAAAACTAAATATTGCATTTGAAATTTTGACTGCTTGCGGGGGCATTCCTGGATATAACGACATGTCTAGTTTGTTTATCCTCAAATTGTCTTTTAAAAGAATAATTATACAATACCGACCAGATACAACCACGGGCTCACTCAGGGTCCACTAGAGCAGACCCAGATCTGGAGCGCACCCCGGGCGGACCCAGAGCGAACGCCAAAATCAAACCCTGATTTCAGCATATTTTCATTTTTGTTATCAGTAGCGCACCCGGAAAACGAACCCGGCATTCGCTATTACGTAATAGAGCTGTCAATCAGGATAAAAAAAAATGTGAAAAACACCGAATATTCGAATCTTAAATTAATATTCGAATATCAACTCATCGAATGAATATTCGAATGTTCGAATATTCGTTGCCATCCCTAATATATATATATATATATATATATATATATATATATATATATATATATATATATATATATATACAAAATGTATTTGAACCATTACGGAGATCCTGTGGAATTGTAGCCCTCGCCTGAAAATCTCAGATAATAAATATATCAGAGGGCTACATTATTGCAGCTAAGAAAACCGCCCCGGACACACGCAGGGGATTTGGTACGGACACACGCAGGGAAAAACACGATGTTAACATCAGATTTTTACAAAAATGAATCGCCCCATATGACATGCCTAGACAAAGAGTGTGGTAAAATTTAAAGCATCTGCAATGAGTAGTTGCTGCGAAAACTCCGACAAAAATGTAAGGACAGCTACACAGACAGACACACTCTAGGATAAAATAAAAAAGGATACAATATTTAGTCACTGGGGATATAAAAAGGATCAGTGCGCAAATTAAAAGTGACATCAATTGACATCAAAGTTGGTCTTTATAATCGTGTTTTTATCATGAATCGTATCATTCTGTAGTCATGCAGGCGTTTGGATTCTCCCTAGCACCTGGTCATAGGGTTTGGATAACACCTTGAAACCTTGTTTGTATGTTTGAAATGCATTTTTCTTTAGTAGAAAGCGTATTACTAGTATTAGCGCGTTCCTTTGTGGTGATATGGTAATTGTGTCCTGAGACCTTAGTAAGACTGCATAATATACATTTATTTACTGAACCAAAATGTGTCCATGAAGCCATTAGGCCGAAGGCAAACAGTTTTGTTCATGGGTTCGACAAAACGCACGTTGCCCTCGAACCCAGTCATTTAATGTATATAACTAAAGCATGCTCCTGAAAATATTTTCAAAAATTTTGATTTAATATTTTTTAAGTACTAAGAAGTAAATATAACTTACTAAATCACAGCTAGTCAGATCATAAACAACCAGTCAGATCATTAAAAACTATTTTCACAGATGCCTGTCCTGAGAATTCTTTCCAGTGTAGTAGCTCCGAGTGCATAAGGACAAACCAGATGTGTGATGAACAAATTGATTGTTCCGATGGTACAGACGAAAGATTCTGTAGTAAGTATTATATAGCACTATTTTTTTTCCTAAAAAGAAATATAATACAGTCAAATCTCGTTATCTCGAACTCAATGGGATCGAGAAAAAAAATATCCGAGGATAAAATACATAAAGAATAAAGGGTTGCGACTTCCAAATTAATTTGACATATCCATAGTATTAAAGATATCAGTGTTCGAGATATCTAAGTTCAACTGTACTTCAAGGAAGGATTAACAAATTTAAGAAACTTGTACAAATCATTCCCACTGAGCACAGACACAAGGTTTATTCGTGTTTTTTCATTGGGTGTTTCAAAAACGCGCAACGGAATACGGAAAATAAGATACAATGTTTAGTCAATTGACAAATATATAAATCATATCAGGAACTATATTTTTTACATAATTTGTTCACGTCTAATCAAGGGTTTGTTGATTTAGTCAGTTTTATTCTCTTGTGAAGAAAATGTATAAAGGTCGTTAAGGTAAGATATCTTTAAGTGGAATAACTTCATTGAAGAACCACTCTGATAATTGTAAAAAGCTAGAATTCGATATTTATATAAATTCATAGTATGAGCGGACGGACACAACATAATTTTCGATTATCTTAAACAGACATATAATTTAGACAACAAAAGAATAAGTAATTGGAGACAAACCAACCGACACTGTATTTTTAGGATCTTGCTACAGTAGCTATTTCAAAACACATCATTTTTGGCTTTCCTCATGCACAACTTATGTATCAATGTATTTAAAGGATCCGTGCAATAATCCTGCAATTGTTATAAATGTGTCTATTCTTTCCTCATTAATAATACGGGTGATAGTTGTCTCTAACATAATTTGTGTACGCCTGTTTCGATTCATGTAATGATCCATAATGAGAGTTGTGTATTTGATGGATAAAGTATTCTTTTTTTTCAAAATCAGATTTGTACACGTTTTATGGGGCTTTAGTTTAGATCCTTGCGCTGTTAGTTTGATTAAATACAGCTACAATTTATTGTGCGCTATGACTAATGAGCAATCTCGCTACTCAAGAAGTACATGTACAATTTTTAACTTGCTCAAACAATATCCTGTTCATAATGCTAGTTGCTTTGTTTCGGAAGGTAAATATTCTTGTATCGCTGATTAGTATATGTAAGTTGAGCCAATTTCGATAATTTTTAAATGATAAAAAACGTAACGTTGGAATATCGATTCAAGTTGATGATATTAGCCTACCTTTCTTGATAAAAAAAATAGTTCGGAGACGAAACAAATCATTGAATATATATCCAAATGTAATGATAAGTTTAATTAATTAAGAACTATTATATAGAAAAATGGTTCCTTTCCGAGTTACATCTATGCCAAGATGAACCTGATAACGATTTTTCTATTCCTTTCCATTCCATCTTCTTTTCCGCGTTTTACCAACACCTTTTTCATTGTTTCAGATTCACATCCTGCAATAAATTGTAGCAGCGTGTCATTTTCGAAGAACACGTCCAGTGGTTCGACAGGGCAAAATGACTGGAACCAAGAATTTTTGGCAGACTGTAATAAAGATGGCAACATATCTTCGTCCGTAGAGAATGTATGCTCAGGTTGTCTAGACACCAATGTTTCAGTAGACTGTAGTCGGCGTGTCACCGGAAGTTCAGTCACTTGTCATCCTTTTTGTCCACCTGGGTGCAACTGTACCGGAAATAGCTTTATCTGTGTCAGAGTCCAATGTCCAGCTTTTACAGAGAGAATCGTCCTAAATAACATTGAATGCAGCAGTCTCAATTTCGATGACAGAGAAATGCAATATTTTGTCAAAAGCAAACATATATTTAAACTTGAGATTCGTAATGCAGTTATCACAAATCTAATAATATTGAGTTATGAAAGCCTCTCTCTGCATAGAATCATAATTATGCACAGTACCTTTATAAAGATAAAGGTACATCCTTACTTTCTTCCCTCATTTCATAAAACAATGCAGTCTTTAAAATTGTACAACACATCAGTCACAGACCTTGAGTACGACATGCAATCTTACTTATCACATTTGATGATACATCTGCGTCTAGCGGCCAGTTCATCACATCACATTTTCCAAGCAACTTTCACTTTCAAGCCTGAAATCTGTGATATCTCAGGGAATGGACTCAAACATTTCTTGGTATCACGTCTACATTGCAGAGACTTAGTGAATGCAAGTCATAACGCGTTAACAGACATGATTGATACAAGTACCCGGATACTAGATTTAAGCCATAACAAGCTCACCCATTACAGACGCTCTTTTAAAATTTTAAATTCACTTTATCTTAATAACAACCAACTGCAATCGACACGAAACACATTTCATATCGAAGAGCGAGCAGGTGACAGCCTTAAAATACTTGATTTTTCATACAATAAAATAGCTTCCATCGATACTGGGGACCTTGTTGCGGTTAAACTGGTATATCTTAATCTCTCCAGAAACCAAATCAAAACTATACACACTGGGGCATTTCTTAAGACCACCCTCCTTGTCATCCTTGATTTGTCCTATAACAACATCTCACAAATCTTTCCTGGGTCTTTTTCGCCACTCAGATACTTGGAAGAACTCTACCTACAAGGAAATCCCTTCCTAGTCGCTGTTGACATGTTTAAAGGTCTCTACAGTTTAAGAATAATGGGAGTAAGCTTTTATACAGTATGTTGTGCTCAGTCCAACAGTAAGTTTAATGTTAAATGCATTGCTCCTGCGACTGAAATTTCGTCTTGTGAAAATTTGATTGATGAACCGGTTCTGAATGTTGCTATATGGTACCTAGCATTAATGGCAGGTTTTGGAAACATAATTGCATTTTTGTATAATGTAAATTATGTCAGAAGCGACGATGCGGGGGCGTACCATTTTCTCATGTTGAATCTGAGTTGTGCCGATTTTTTGATGGGTGTCTACCTGTATATAATTGCTATCATTAATCTACATTACACAGGGGAGTACGGTTTGAATGATAATGTTTGGAGGCATAGCACTCTTTGTACGCTTTCTGGAATTATTGCTAGTCTTTCGAGCGAGGCATCTGCCTTTATTGTTTTGTTGATCACTATGGACAGATTTATCGCAGTCAAGTATCCATTTTCAGACTTAAAACTTACTAGAAGAGGAGCCTCTGTGCTCTTGATTATTGCTTGGTCTGTGTCTCTTTTCCTTGCTTTGATCCCTTTAATACCAGATCCTAGTCTTGAAAACTTCTACGCACAGTCTGGTATCTGTGTTTCTCTTCCTTTGTCCATTACTAGAAAGTCTGGATGGCAGTTCTCCATGATTGTGTATGTAGGTATCAACTTCTTTCTTTTCCTTGGAATTGTTGTTGGACAGATTTCAATATTCGTTGAAGTGTTTAATGTTGGGAGGAGTGTGCAGTCAACAAATACAATTCTGAGGGAAGTATCCTCGGCTCAGACACTGTTTGCGATCGTCCTGACTGATGTCAGCTGTTGGATATTAATAGGGACGATAGGTAAGTTTCATATATATAACCCGTAGGTCACCTTTACACATGAATAAAAAAAATACGATATTTACTTATCATTAATTTCCTAAGGTTCATTTTTCGTTGTTTTCGTGAACTGGGTCACGAATCAATGAAATCTAAAACAAAAAATCCAATACGGAAGAAGACCAACAATTTTTCAACCATGAATTCAAATCCCTAGAACACAATCTATCTCAAACCACGAAAAATGGACCACATGGAAATATTTCATTTAGTTGTTTCTCTTGCTAGCTAATTTTCTAGAACCAATTGAAACTGGTTGTCTAAATGACCTAGAACAGTTAAAAGTCTTCCAGCTTTCAATAAATTTAAAACATTTTTTGATATATTTTATCACTCAAAAGATAATTTTTATGAGAAAAATTCAAGAGTAAAAGAATGAGAACTTTAAAGAAAATAAAGTGACCTCGAGCAAACTTCAAATTAGTTGGTCCAATGCTTTTACGACTAACCGTTTAAAAGTCTCCGGTGAGAACGTTCTATGGGCAACAACTGACGGAAGGGGTAATCAGATCATTTCACACTAAATAGATTAAAGAATCTTTTCAATAAGTTGACATCTGTGAAGATTGGTAGCTCTACAGTTAACGGTTTTGAAGGAGCACTGAGAAGAAAAATTATCGTGTAATGGGCAATAACTCCAAAAGGGGTCAGGATCAAAAGTCATGGAAATGAGAAATAAAAGAGCAAATTTTTCTCAAATTGAATGGCCTTGACCTTTGCCATTGATAATTTCAAGTTCTAAAGCGGGACATTTTGTTGCAGTTGATCTCATGTTTTTATGACTGATCGTTTTAAAAAATTAAATTTTTTTGTAAACAGCGAAAACTAAAGTAGTCGAAGACTGAGTAAATGTTTGATAGTTTACAATTAAAGGTTACAAAGGAGCAGTGATTAAAGGTCTTCATGTAAGGGACAATAACCCCAAAAGGGGTCAGAATTGGAAATCATAGAAGATGCGGGATTCATCGTCCGAAGTTGCTGGGTCAGATCTGAAAGTCATTCGAGTAGTCGATTAACACTATAGATATATTTGTTTGATAAGTCTTGAAAAAAAAATCAGTGGAAGAAAAGTTATAATTAAGGTATGCCACTCGTCACCTTTTAAGACAAGAAGCCCAAGGGCCTTAACAGTCACCTGAGTATAATACAACGTAATAAAGGATCCACAGAAGTATAAAATAAAACAAAAATAAACCGATAGGCGATAGATGATCGAAGCTTTGTTGACTTTAAAAGCAAGAGAAATTAGATGATCAGGAATCAACAATATAATTAGTCTATTGTTAAAGCGGATCTATTTTCTTGTCTGTACCTGCCTTCATTTGTCACTATCACTATTCTGACTAAACAAAACTGCACTATTAGAACGCTAATTGCATTCACTTCCACATTGATTTCTTTTGTTCTCTCAATTTTAGAAGAGGCACATTTGGTTATCATACCTATGCAATTAGTTATATCCAAGAACAGGAAGAAGATTTTCAAAGAATTTATAGTTTTACTATATGATCATTAGAGCACCACTCTAACGTCAGATCCCCTGATCCTGGGGTGGGAGCGGGGCACAAATTTGGAAAAGACACCCTTTTTTATCATAATCAGTTCATCTTCTCAATAAACAGGGAGAGAGAAGACGCTTGTAAAATTATCATTTTCACTAAATGATCATTAGAGACCCGCCCTAACTCCAGAATAAGCATGCACCTAGTTGATCTGCTAAATATACACGGGGGGAGAAAAGATTTTTAAAGAAGTGAAGCATTTTCTCTATATTATCATAAAAGCCCAGCCCTTACGCCAGAACCCCTGACATCGGGCCACGAATCTTGAAGATTCAAACTATTCTACATTAAATAAGGTTTATTTATTGCCTTGATAACATCTGGTAAAATATTTACTTAAGTTTTACAGTTGAAATGTAAAAACTTCATTGAACCGTTGCTCAATTAAGTTCATTGTACCGCTGCTCAATCAGATGCATACTGTCTTCCAATTTTCTTTCCAATTTTGAAATCCTTGATATAAAATAATTCAGGAGTGACATACAATTACAGAACGACCTTAATAGGTTTTTTCACAGGAAGTTGGAAAGACCTAATTGAAATTTGAACTTTCTTATCTGTTAATCATGATCAGATAACATTTCTGTCATACGGTAATGCAGACATTTAGGGGGGTTTAGGTACATCCAAATTCATTATGTACGTTTATAGGTATTAAATTTTGCGTTTGAAAAATAGATTCTCTAAAGTCTTAAATTGCTACAGATCAATTTTTATTACACAGGAATCCTGACATCTTTTTGGTATATAGAGGTTCAGCCTAATGGGTATAATTAATTTTTTGTTAATCACTTAAATTCTGTTAATTCATAGGAATATACATTTTTTGGGATTGAGATAATAAATTTTCAGTTATACAGGAATGTTGACGTATTTTAGGATTTAGATAATCATCTTTCTGTTACACAGTAATTGTGACTTTTTAGCTCACCTGAGCTGAAAGCTCAAGTGAGCTTTTCTGATCACCCGTTGTCCGTCGTCCGTCCGTCTGTCTGTCCGTCCGTCTGTAAACTTTTCACATTTTCAACTTCTTCTCAAGAACCACTGGGCCAATTTTAACCAAACTTGGTACAAACTACCATTGGGTAAAGGGGAGTTTAAATTGTTAAAATAAAGGGCCAAGTCCCCTTACAAGGGGAGATAATCAAGAAAAGACAAAAATAGGGTGGGGTCTTTAAAAAATCTTCTTCTCAAGAACCACTGAGCCAGAAAAGCTGAAACTTATGTGGAAGCATCCTGGGATAGTGTAGATTCTAAATTGTTCAAATCATGACCCCCGGGGGTAGGGCGGGGCCACAATAGGGAATCCAAGTTTTACATTGAAATATATAGGAAAAATCTTTAAAAATCTTCTTCTCAAGAACCACTGAGCCAGAAAAGCTGAAACTTATGTGGAAGCATCCTGGGATAGTGTAGATTCTAAATTGTTCAAATCATGACCCCCGGGGGTAGGGCGGGGCCACAATAGGGAATCCAAGTTTTACATTGAAGTATATAGGAAAAATCTTTAAAAATCTTCTTCTCAAGAACCACTGAGCCAGAAAAGCTGAAACTTATGTGGAAGCATCCTGGGGTAGTGTAGATTCTAAATTGTTCAAATCATGACCCCCAGGGGTAGGGCGGGGCCACAATAGGGAATCCAAGTTTTACATTGAAGTATATAGGAAAAATCTTTAAAAATCTTCTTCTCAAGAACCACTGAGCCAGAAAAGCTGAAACTAATGTGGAAGAATCCTGGGGTAGTGTAGAATCTAAATTGTTCAAATCATGACCCCCGGGGGTAGGGCAGGGCCACAATAGGGAATACAAGTCTTACATTGAAATATATAGGAAGAATCATTAAAAATCTTCTTCTCAAGGAACCACTGAGCCAGAAAAGCTGAAACTTATGTGGAAGCATCCTAGGGTAGTGTAGATTCTATATTGTTCAAATCATGACCCCCGGGGGTAGGGCGGGGCCACAATAGGGAATACAAGTCTTACATTGAAATATATAGGAAGAATCTTTAAAAATCTTCTTCTCAAGAACCACTGAGCCAGAAAAGCTGAAACTTATGTGGAAGCATCCTGGGGTAGTGTAGATTCTATATTGTTCAAATCATGACCCCAGGGGTAGGGCGGGGCCACAATAGGGAAACATTGAAATATATAGGAAAAATCTTTAAAAATCTTCTCAAGAACCACTGGACCAGAAAAACTGAAACTTATGTGGAAGCATCCTGGGGTAGTGTAGATTCTAAATTGTTCAATTCATGGCCCCCGGGGGTAGGGCGGGGCAACAATAGGTATTACAAGGGGGGGAGTCTGGTAATGAACAGCATGGCCAAAGTTACTCAGGTGAGCGATGTGGCCCATGGGCCTCTTGTTTTTAGTTGAGATAATTATCTTTCTGTTACACAGGAATGCTGACTATTTTTAGAGGCATTGAATTAATTATCTTTCTTTTAACACAGGAATGCTGACGTTTTTGTTTTGTTTTTTTTTGGGTGGGGATTAAGGTAATTATCTTTTTGTTAAACAGGAATGCTGACGTTTTTGGGGATTGAGGTACAGCCTGACGTTTATGCCTGGATGATAGTTGTCGTTCTGCCGATTAACTCCGCCATTAACCCCATATTGTATTTGTTGACTACATTCATCAAAAACAAGGTCAGATTATGTAGTTTATTTGGTTTGGAAGTTATACTAGAAGATTTTGTGCAATAGCTTAACGTCTCTCTATGTTAGAAATTATTCTTTAAATTTTTTGAATTTCTATAAAAGTAAGTAAACATGATAAGTACGTTGAGATACATAATATTTGATGTGAGAGACGGCATCACTACGACTTTTTCCTGATTTTATTCTTAAAAAAATTGATTGACGTTAAAATTGCTTTCCTGAACTTTAATGTGTCTTGGTGGTTGAATATTACTATAAATTGCATCCATAATCTAGCTACAAACTCAATGTAACAAAACTTTGTGTAAGTCACCACTATTGCAAGATCAAACTAGTAGAGCTTAAGTCTCCTTGGAGACGAACGTTTACTTCCAAGCATAACCAAGTCTGAATATTAATACAAAATCTTCAAAATTTAGAAAGGAAAAGACGGAGAAAACATTCCACAGATGAAAAATATACAAGATTCAGCCAAGGTAATTACAATTTTCAATACCTATATTGTGTCTATCTTTGCAAAAAAAGTCCCCCCCCCCGGTTCCGACGCATATGCAATTAACTTTTGAACCGTAGTCGGTAGTAAGTCCTACTATTATTAATGTTCTTCAAAAGATATAAACAATCTACATTACTACCAAAGTTCATTCGGAATTTCGAATACTCCCCGAAATAAACTAAATCAATTGTGTCTTGTTCAGGAACTATTGTTCACACAACAATTTGATCACGACCGGGGGGATTTATGTTAACAACTTATCTATATTTGCTTAGAATTTTCAATGATTTAGAACTTTCCAGATTAAGATATTTTACTTAATTTTGAGTGTGATTCGCATCAAGCTTTGAATTGTTTATCATTCATCGTCATTTTTAGTGTAAATGAAACATTAAGGAGACTGCAAATAACTGAAATGTTAATAAAATGGAAAATAGCCTGCTTTATTTAGAATATTTGAAATGCTCATTTCATCTTCGCTACCAGAATTATTAGGTCGATTGTTGACGGGGTTTTTTTCCTCACAAGATCCATATTTTGTATGTATATTTAAGATCGTTCGGTCTGATGATTTACTCTCAGAGATTAAAAAACAAAATCTTCTGCGAACCCTAGAATTATTTATCAATGTCTTATACCTTTTTTGTAGTTGAGATCTGAAAGCACCAGTCAAAGAACCATTAGTACCGTGTCAGGGTCTTATTCCGATAGCAGTGATCTTCAAAACCGTCCTTCAGATCAAAGGATCGAATCACAGAAGGAAAAAATCACGAAAGAACAGGAAACGATCGAGTCGCAACAAAAAAGGATCGAGTCACAAGAAAATCGAGTCAAAACAGGAAAGGATATAGCCACCACAGAAAAGGATCCGGTCACTACAGAAAAGGGTCCGATCACCAGAGAAAAGGTTACGGTCACCATAGGAAAGGTTCCGATCACCACAGGGAATCAGCCGCAAACAAAAGTAAAGCTGTCTCCATTAAAGGGCCCACCATATCAAATCTCTTAATAGTGTCATCTGCGTTTATTATGTAAATATAGGCGTACCCTTTGTGTTAACTTTAGGAATATAATTTTCGAAATTTGTCACATTACCTGTAGCTGTGAACTTTGCATATTAAATTTAGCATTTAGCAAGAGAAGGGATACTGGTGGAGGAACTTTGAACACGCAGTTTTACCCCGCTTTTAAATTCAATCTATTCTAATGCCTTGAAAGAAACATCACTTACTGTGTTGGTTTTCTAGTAATGTGTACAACATGTATGAATCTTCTTGACATTTTGTTTTATTCTTGGTAACATCTATATAACTTGTCGTTGACGCGTCTGTATTAGTAGTAAAATAAAAGTAAAATTTTAGAACAGTATATTTCCTTGTGTTTGTTAAGACTTTATTTGATTGGCCTGTGGTGTCGGTTTTTTTCATACCTGTCGTTTTTTTGTCATTAAAATAAGCGCATATTTTTACCACTTATCCCCTTGTTTTTGTGATTACGATAGTTTTCTAGAAACATATGAAGAAAAGTTTAATTAAAGCTCAAATTTTGTTTTCAGACACTGAAATTCTTTATGAAGTCTGTAAAAAATTCAAGAAGTTATGATTGCCGCCAAATTTTTCAATGTCTTACACGAAATTGAAACAGTGTGCTCTCTTACTCATTTTTTTTCCGTATATTGTTTCAAATAATAGATATTTCGCATTGAAATACAATATTTAAAAAAAGTTTTTTTTTCAATATATCTATGTAGAACTAGCTTTTAACTTGGATTTTTAAATACTATAATGTTTAACTATGTTTAGGTCAGTTGTTGCTAAAGAACATTGAGAAGACCATTTCGTATTAAGGTGTACAAATTATCAATTTCATTTTCAAGGTAGGGTACCAACCATTTATCCCCATTTACCAGAGATTTTCAAACACAATCTGGTCACAATGAACAACAATCACTGTGGCTTAGTTTTAAAGGGGGAAGATGTTGAAAAGTCTAAAATTTAATACAAATAGAGTAAATACTGAAAATATTAATTTACTTAATTAATGAAAGGGCTTCACTCTAATGGTATATAAAGAAACGGAATTAGAATCATTCAGTGTGGAAACTGTAGAGGTTCCTTAATTCACTTAGTACACTGGTAAAGAGACAACAGGCCCAAGGGCCTTAACGATTACCTGAGTATAATACAACCCTGACAAGGATCAATGCGTAGGATGGAAATTTGATATTTACATAATAAACCAAGTAAATTGAAAGAGGAAGATATTATAGGACAATCAGCAACCAGCAAAATACTTTCTCTTGATAGTTTGAAAGTTGTCTGCATATCCGAGTGCTATTTAAAAACTTGTATAAATCTATTATTTATATGTCTATGAATTACATAATTTATAATGCTTGCTTATCACAGTGGAATAATCAAAGGTGAATAACCTCTCAAGGTGGAATAGAAATTTCGCTACATTATCAATAGAGCTGGTGATCGGAAGATCGTAGGTTCGAACCCCGACCGCGACTGACCTAAGTCGATATAAAATAGGAAGCAACTGTTCCTTTGCCAAGCGCTCGGCACTTTGAAGTGAAAGTTGCGGGTCCTTCGGATGAGACCTTAAAAACCGAAGTCCGGTGCCACAGCAGGCGTTGGCACGATAAAGATTTTTCACTGCTCATTGGCCCTGAGTGCCGAGTAAAGGCCCTTCACCGGTGTATGGTGACTTCTCTATATGATCGAGTGAAAAATTCTCGACAGGGAACGTAAAACATCAATCAATCAATAGAGCTGTCCTAGCATCAGAACCCCCTTCCCAGAGGTAATGAATTTCTGAAAATCTGATAAGAACACCCTTGCTAATTACAACTATTTATTTGGGTTGTTTGCTAGATGCCCAGGAGCAGAGGAGAAGATTTTCAAAGTATTAATGCATTTTTCACTTTATAATCAATAGAGTCCTGTCCTAACACCTGAATTTTACAATTTAAGTAAAGGCATTCCTAATCATCATAACCATTCATGTAGTTTGCTTGCTAATAATACAGGGAGAGAGAAGAAAATTTGCAGAGAACATATGCATTGTTCACTGTTTGTATAGATCCTGCCCCTAACCTCTAACTATGGTTCATGAATTTTACAATAAAGGCAAAGGCACCTTTGCTCATCATAACCATGTACTTATTTTTTCTCATTACCCAGGAACATAAAAGAAGATTTTAGAAATAGAAGTCTGGCATTACTAATATGGAATATAATCTCGGTGTTCCATCCAAATCCTTCAAACCTTATGACCGATCAGAAAAACCCCGACAATTCATATCGACCTTTTAATCTCAAACTTACTACAAATTATTTCGATAAAGAAGCACAGGAAGCTTATTACTTTGATGAATAGGCTGAAGGTTAGGAAAATCAAGAACCATTGACATCATTTATCACGACAGTCTACCTCATGACCACAATATGACCAGAAAGTCTCTGACAAGGTTATATATGTTTTGTACTTATAACAAAGTGAAAAGAAGCGTTAAGATTGAAACTACAATACATATAGATACTCTGATAGAATTAAAAAACGTAGCAAAGTCGAAACTAAAATTTGAAACACTTTCAAATAAATTTCAAATAAATGGCAACACCGTTCTTTAAAATTAAAAAACCATCGAAAACAATGCCGGTATAGTCCTAAGAGTAGTAGCCAATCAGGTTTCAGCTTATGTGCATATCCATGTTTTCGAGTTATCTCACACATCTTGCTAGTAAGGGGACTCATAATAAATGCATGCGACAGAAAAGAAATCCTTCAATGTCTAGAGAACATAAAGGGTAATTGAAGCCACGGAGGACTCATCATGGACCAGACGATACACGGAGAAATCATATGCTTGAATCTTCCTTTTCTGATGTTTTTAGAGATCCTCGTTTGGTCTTCTTCTGATCTGTATTGTTGCAGTGAACTTTTGAGCTTGATTACTGTGGCGTATATTCCTTTCTGCTTATGTTAAGCTAATGTGAAGTCACAGATTTCACCGGAAACGCGAATTGCGGGTAGGCAAGGAGGGAGTCGCTCATCCTCAATGGAATGTGGGGGTCGGAGAACCACGTAAAAGTTTGATAGACATTAATTAAAAGTGTGGATTGCTAAAAATACCTTTATTGCATTTGATGAAAACATATTCTAGTAAACAGGTAAATAAATAAGATTTATGATCAACTTTCCCCCATTTTTCAAACAAATACATGTATAAATATACTTTTTCAAGAAAATGGTTTGTAGGCTGCAGCCTTTTTGCCTATATGGAATATACCCCATTGCCAATGAAAAGGCGATAAAAGGTTTTGAATTCGTTGAAATTAATTTAAGCTTTAAGGCCAGTAATAAAAAAAATTTAACTCTCGTTTTGCATGTATTCCATTTCCAAAGGAATATTGTTCCGCCTGATTAATAAGAATTTGATAACTATTGTATAATTACAAAGATCCTGTGCTTCCGTGGAATGAAATAAAAAGATAAAAACAATTCACAAACACTTCAAACAATACAGCAGTAAAGCTACAGTTTCAGTTCTGATTTAGCATGAACACAGTAAGCATGTCGATATTAAAATTGCAAAACTTGCAATGTTCTGCCAAAGGCCATTCCAAGTTTTTCTATGTTTAGCGTCCGCGTGCGCCTTGGTTTTTAACAACCCATATCACAAAAAACAAACAAAATCAAGAGTCCTCAAATTGCATATTCTAGTCAAAATCACTGAATTCTGTCAATTTCTCAAAATATTTGTTTACAATATATCAAATTTAGAATATAGTAAGCATTGAATACCTTGATTTTGCTGATGAATTTTTTTTCTAAGAGAAGAATAGATTAATGAAATCAAATCCTTTGAGTTACCTCATTTTTGTGACTATAAAGTCTGTGTTTTATTTTTTGGTTTGTGTGTTTTTTGCGAAAAGGTAGGTAGGTTTTTGAAAGATGGGTGGACGCTAAACAGAGAAAAAACTTGGAATGGCCAAATCCAAATGTCATCAATCGGTGTGTGTGTCACCAAGATTGATACAGAAATATAGTTCAAAATTTTCCGTAATATTAGAAAATTTTGAACTCCATGCAATTCCAACTTCCAGCAAAAAAAGCGAGGTTCATATGTGATCTGGGGACCGAGCTAGGATTGAGAACTACGCTGCCAAACATGAACCCGCGGCTGCTATGAGAAAATTCAAACAGAATTTAATCAATTGAAAGGGTCTACAGCAAGGTATGTCTGAGATTCCTACAAGCGTAAGCAAACAAACAAAAAAAAGGGAAACCTTGACTTTGATGATTTAGTGTCGTGTTACAGAAATTCAGGATAAAAATCGAGGTTGTAAAATTCTGTTGTGAGATGAAATGGACCATCAAGTACAATTTTACATTAAAACTTCAGAAAAATCTTATTGTGTTCATACTGCAATAGGGCGTGCTGTAGGAATAGGTATTGTCAAGTCCGAGGATAAACAACTCTCAGAAAATGGTGGTCCTATTAGTATTACATTTACAAAAACCTGGGAATATTCTTCGTTGCAAAAAATTAATTTTGTTAAGCGTTGTGCAAGCTGTACTGTTAAAACTCATATTCCTGATGAAAAATTTTAGCTTCTGAAATCCGAGTCTCTATCCAGTGTATTTATTTTCGAATAATCACATGATTACTTTCTTTTTCTGAAAACTAAACGAGCCTTTTTCCTTCAGTTTGATTCCTTGAACCTGTAGTAGGTAATTATTACATTATTTCTTTGGTTAAATCAGTTCAATAATTACTTCAAACACATCAATACAATTTTAATTGTTGTTTTAACCGTTAATTATCATATATAGTAGAAAAAGGAATGCTACGCTATGCATATCATGACCAGTCTAGCGGATATGGTCTTATTAAGCAGGACACAGAATGGAGTGGGTAGATTTTTGGATGGGAATCAATTTAGAGTACTAAGGTTGATTGTATTTTGACGTAGATGTATGCAGATAGGTGAAACGTTCTCACTTCAACATAGTTATGCCCTTTGTATTTTACTTGGATCTCATTTCTACTTATTGGAGGTTTGGCGGAAATCGATTAGCGTTAACAATCAGGAAAAAAAAACTCTGGAGAGTGTGTGGAATGAGAGCTCAGAAATGCAAATCTTTGAAAATCATGCATCCTTTCTTCAAATGTATAAAAGAGGTATTACATATTGACATTTGTAATGACAAGCACAAGATTCAACCCTCTCAGTTTTGTAATTCATGTCAAGGAAAATGTTTTCGTTATTGTTCTGATAAAGAGAAAGGCGATGCTTACTACAAGGGTTGTCCCAGAAAAACGCGAACATATTCAATGGGTTTTTTTAACCGTCACGGTAGATCTGTCGGTAGAGCGCTCGCTCCGTGATCGGAAGGTCGTGTGTTCGAATTACGGCCGCGACTGACCTAAGTCGATAAAAATAAGTAGCAACTGTTCCTTCGCCAAGCGCACTTTGAAGTGAACGTTGCGAGACCTCCTTAAAAACCGAAGCCCCGTCTCACGATAGGCTTTGGCACGATAAAGAACCTTCACTGCTCAATGGCCCTGAGTGCCGAGTAAAAATCTAAATTTGGAGCATGGTGACGTCTCTATATGAGTGAAAAATTTTCGAACGGAACGTAATACAACACACAATCAATCAATGTTTTCTGTTTCACTAACATTATAAAGTTAAAAATTAACCTGTACCATAGTCAACACTTTTTACATAATTCACAGAAATTTCAATATCTCTCTAATTAACATTTTTCTCTCTGATAAACGAATCATTCATAAGGCTAATTGTATTCGGCGCGTCGGCGCGCTCGCGCAACATATTTTGTTTATAAAATAAATTATCGCTTATACAGTTTTGTTAGCATCGGGCTCGATATTTCACTCGATATTCCTTTGATCTTATAATGCAACATCCAGAGCGATACCTATATCCCCAGAATAAAGAAGGTGACACTGAATGGGTTTACACTGCTCAAAAAAAAGAGAACTACTTTCTACCACTGCCAACCAGAATGCATATTGAAGCGACATCCACATTTTACAATTGACAAAATCAAGATCCCGAAAAAGTCAGCAACAAATTGAAACCATGCCACTTGAAAATGCTTCAGTCTCATTTTGTAAATTGTAATCAACATGTGCAAATTCCTGATCTAAGAATCTAGACAATCAACATAATTTAAACATGTGTCTTGCTCAAAACATAATGTGTGTGTATTTTTTCTTTTGTTTTTTTGTTCCTGTTTTTTTTTCTTTATTATTATTTTTTTTTTTTGTTGATAAGATTTTTGTGCTTGTTTTTGTGATAAAACAATGTTTGGTTTATCATAAATCAAAAGAGCAAGTTTCATAGATGGGATTATGTTTTTGAAGCTTCAACATCATTATTTAACTGCTTGTGGTTTCTTTTATTCATGGCCACTAATATTAATACACTGGTTTTATCAATTTCTATTGGCATCAATTTTTGTGCAATCAGCGAATGACTCAGTATTTCGTGTAGACAGGTCATCATAAAACTTTTTGATATGTTTCTTACTTTAATGACCATCAAATTCTATTTTAATTTTCACTCTGCAAAACACAAGACCACAAAAATTAATGTTTAAGGCATGTTGATGGAACCACTGTAAATGTATTTTATATGATTGGATTTTTAATGAGATAAGTGGTTGAGAAGACTACAATATGGGGAGGCACAACTTTATGTATACTGGCACATGATCTGAAGTGCAAATGATCTGTTTAGGTTTGCAGGCCAGCCATTTCTGTAACTAAACTTACTCCCCCCCCCCCTTCTCAAATAAAGACAAGTTAATATTTAGTAGTAGTATTATTTTAATACGTAACAAGGGATCTTTGTCAAACACTGATACCAATGTATGGCAGCTTATTGCCATCATAATCAAGTCTCTAAAAAGGAGGTTAATCTCTAGAGTCTAGGGTCATTGCGTAATACCGGTAAATTTTTTATATACATAAAGAAAATTTACAAAAACCAAAGCACTAAATATTTTTAAATACTATAGTTAATTTTTGGAGATTGGGGTAAATTTCGGATTACTCTAGCACAAATTATGGTAAGGCATGCATGGATCAAAGGGGATCCGGATCCCTGGAAAATCAAATTTATTTAAACTGACAGTGTAAAATTACTAAAGCTATGCCTCGGACCTCTTCCCCTTGCGATTTGAGCCAACACCTCCTAGGGAAAAAATTCTGGATCTACCCAACAAAAAATTACAATCGGGCTCGGGCTGTCGACTTGAATATAAGCGATAATGCTTAAATTATAAAGGAAGTCGATGTCATTTGAGTGTTTTAATGCAGGGAGAAAACACTTTTGTGATATTGGGATGAGATGAACGCGCTGGAGCGCCGAATACAATTAGCCATTCATAATAGCTGCCAGCGCAACACAGGGGACCTCAAAACGTAGCTCTTGGAGTTTGTGATTTTTTTTCAGGAATCGTGCGTCTTTAAAAATTCGTTTAAAGCATAAATTCGATACTGCCTTTGATTTTCTTTGAGTTACCGAGATATATCCATTTCAAACGTTCTACAAATAAGAATATATCATGGAATTAATTCTTTAAATAGACAATTTCCCAACCCTAATCATAAAAACAACTGCTCGCATAGTTAAAGGCGGTCTTGACCTCCAGTTAGACTTTTCAGTTTGTCGTCATTTTTGTTAGTGTACCAAACGCTTCTTCCATGGGATAACCAGTCCATTCATCTTTGAACCTCTTTTACTTTTTAAAAACCACTGTTCCATACATGTATTTGTGTCGCTCCCAGCTCTTTCCTGAGTCCTATACCCTGCTCCACACAGTACTGAGTGAGGCCGCATTATCGCCCGACGTCGCTGTTTTTGACAATAGCTCACAAAGCGTTCGTGGCGCAGTAGTTAGAGCGTCTGCTCTAGAATCGCGAAGTAAGGCGTTGATCCTCACGTCGCGGGTTCGAATCCCACTGTGGGACGTGGAGACTGGTCCTTCGGATGAGACCGTATAAACCGAGGTCCCGTGTCGCAGTAGGTGCTGGCACGAAAAAGATCCCTCACTGCTCATTGGCCATAAGTGCCGAGTATAGGACAAATTTTGCAGCTCTCCGCCGGCAAGTGGTGGCGTCCCTATATGAGTGAAAAATTCTCGAGAGGGACGTTTAACAACATTCAAACGAACAAACTAATAGCGTTTGTTTTTTGTTTGTTGTTTAACGTCCCTCTCGAGAGATTTTCAATCATATGGAGACGCCAACACTTGCCGGTGGAGAACTGCAATTTTTTACCTACACTCGGCACTTAGGGCCATTGAGCAGTGAGGGATCTTTTTCGTGCCAGCACCCACTGAGACACGGTTTGTGCCTATAACGTCATATTCTTATCATTTATAATGTTTGTTATGTTATGAACAAAATATTCCAAGTTGAAAGACACAAAAGGAACATGAATGTTTATGACATCGGATTTATTTTGAATATTATAAAGAAACCAAAGGCGAATCAGAAGCAAACAAAGGCTGTCCTCTCGGTAAAAAGAACACCTAACTCTCCACAATACAACAAATTAAATAATGCTTCTTAATTGTTCAATAGACAATACAATTGATTAACGATAAGAATGGATTATAAAGCGGGGAATAAAATTAAATTGCCCTTGTGTCTCTACCATCGCCAACACTCTCCTCCCTTTCAATAATGTAAAGTTTTGAGTAAGACCTGAACCATTGTAATTGTACAGGAAGTTTAAAGAAAGTTACGACAATTTATCTGGAAGCTAACCAAGTAATCTTGAAAGCAACATTTCTAAAACTTAAATTGTTGTCTCTGTCCAATTTATAATACAAAAAAATTCATGTGACGAGTCCTTTAATCAGAAGTAGACAACCCTTCTAACTAGATCTTTTCGTATTGTGACCCGATTCTTTCCTGTTATGGCCAGATCCTTTCCTATAGAGACTCCATTTCTTCCTGATAAGAACCTATCCTTTCCTGTGGTGTGCTTATCCTTTCCTGTTGTGACCTAAGCCTTTCTTGTGTTGAGACGAACCTTTCCTGCTGTGTCCCGATCCTTTCCGGATCTTGGTGTTTCCGGAACATTTCCTGTTGTGACCCTATTCCTTCCTGATGTGGACCTATCCTTTCCTGTTGTGACCCGATCCTTTCCTGTAGTGATTCCATTCTTTCTTGTTGTGACCCGATCCCTACCCCCTGTGTCCCGATCCTATCCTGTATTGACTCCATTCTCTCCTGATGTGTCCCGATTCTTTCCTCTAGAAACTCCACTCTTTTTTGTGACCCGATCCTTTCCTCTTGTGTCGCGATCTTTTCCTCTACAGACTCCATTCTTTCCTGATGTGACCCGATCCCTTCCATCTGTATCCCGATCCTTTCCTGTAGTGACTCCATTTTCTCCTGTGACCCGATCCCTTCTTCCTTTATATTAACAATTTTCTTCGTTGTTCCCTGTTTTTGATCTACAGGACAATGTTGAAGATCACGACTGTAGGAAGAAGTACCCGAAACGGTGCTGATGACTCTCTGACTGGTGTTAACGGATCTCCACTAGATTAACAAGATATACATCAGAATGAATTAGGCAAGATACTTTGAAAAAGTTCAAATATTAATGATTTAACAGTTTATTTACTAAATTTTGAAATTAAAGCAAAATAATATGATTTCTGGGGACAGACGTTTAAAAGATTAACAGGACCAAATTATGAACAGTAAACTTCGAAGAATTTTTTTTTAAGTGCAGAAAAAAGACGGACTCAGCCTCAACATTCTCGACACCACCCTAAGGTTTTTCGTTGAATTAGTATAGGTCGCCCGCATGGTGCAGTGGTAACAGCGTTCGCTCTAGAGTCGCGGAGTAAGGAGTTGATCCTTAGAGTCGCGGAGTAAGGAGTTGATCCTTACGTCGCATGTTCGAATCCCACTGTGGGACATCGAGACGGTCCTTCGGATAAGACCGTATAAACCGAGGTCCCGTGTCGCAGTAAGTGCTGGCACGAAGATCCCTCACTGCTAAATGGCCCTGAGAGCAGAGTATAGGTCAAAATTTGCAGCTCTCCACCGGCAAACGGTGGCGTCTCCAAATGAGTGAAAAATTCTCGAGAGGGACGTTAAACAATACACAAAAATCAATTAATATAGTGATAATGATTGTAATTAAGGTCTTCCGTTCCAACGGAAGACCTTCTACTGATTCTGATGGTTAAGATTATTAAGGTCTTCCGTCTCCAACGGAAGACCTTATTGTTTTCGTTCGGTTTCTTTTTCCCTATTATTATTATTATTATTATTATTCTTACCGATTTTGTGCACGCGAGTTCTCGAAAATGTCTTGGCCGATTTTCATGAAACTTTCAGATCTGATAGGTATTGATCTGAACCTTATTGGAAATTTTTTTCGTTGATGACGTCACTTTCCATCTCGAGATATTTAGGATATTCTGATTTTTAGAGTGTCGGCTTGTCCTGGAAACTCCTCCGAAACGACTTAAGATATTGATTCAAGATTTTCAGTGAAGGTAGGGGAAGGTTTGTAGATTTGCAGGCAGGTGTCCAAATCTCTCTAGCGCAAAAGGCGTCGAAGCTCGGTAGGGCTCAAAAAATGTCTCAGAAACATCTCACAAAATTTCAAACCTTTTCTTTCATATCTTCACACCTGTTAAGAATTTGTTAAAACATATAGAAGAAAAGTTGTGCAGAATGTTACGACCTTTCATTTGATATCAAGAAAAAGGGGCTGACCCCTCAAATTAGGGGCTGAGAGGGGCCAAAAGTCTTTCATCTATAACTCTTTAACGATCAATAATTTGTAATACATTACTGAAGCAAAGATGCTTATCTTAACGATTTACAACAATATATGATAAGATTCTGATCATATGTTACGTAATAAGGGGTCACAAGGGGCCAGAATGCTAAGTCTTTGACGCTTTATATCTCGAAAAGGGAGAATATTTTGATAAGCAATACTGAACAAAAGATGGTCAGAATAATGTTCTAAATAATATGCACCCTTTCAATTCTTATTAAACGGCCCCATTAAGGACTTGGAGGGTTGGCCCCTAAATATTTCCATTCAGCATATCTCCACAACGAAAAGAAATCTCTGAATAGTTGTTGAACAAAAAGTCTTCAAAATCACAAGATCTTTCAATTGGTATCAAGAAAAAGGGGCTGACCCCTCAAATTAGGGGCTCAGAGGGGCCAAAAGTCTTTCATCTATAACTCTTGAACGATCAATAATTTGTAATACATTACTGAAGCAAAGATGCTTATCTTAACGATTTACAACAATATATGATAAGATTCTGATCATATGTTACGTAATAAGGGGTCACAAGGGGCCAGAATGCTAAATCTTTGATGCTTTATATCTCGAAAAGGGGGAATATTTTGATAAGCAATACTGAATAAAAGATGGTCAGAATAATGTTCTAAATAATATGCACCCTTTCAATTCTTATTAAACGGCCCCATTAAGGACTTGGAGGGTTGGCCCCTAAATATTTCCATTCAGCATATCTCCACAACGAAAAGAAATCTCTGAATAGTTGTTGAACAAAAAGTCTTCAAAATCACAAGATCTTTCAATTGGTATCAAGAAAAAGGGGCTGACCCCTCAAATTAGGGGCTCAGAGGGGCCAAAATTCTTTCATCTATAACTCTTTAACGATCAATAATTTGTAATACATTACTGAAGCAAAGATGCTTATCTTAACGATTTACAACAATATATGATAAGATTCTGATCATATGTTACGTAATAAGGGGTCACAAGGGGCCAGAATGCTAAGTCTTTGACGCTTTATATCTCGAAAAGGGAGAATATTTTGATAAGCAATACTGAACAAAAGATGGTCAGAATAATGTTCTAAACAATATGCACCCTTTCAATTTTTGTCAAACTGCCCCATTAAGGACTTAGAGGGGTGGCCCCTAAATATTTCCATTCAGTATATCTCCACAACGAAAAGAAATCTCTGAATAGTTGTTGAACAAAAAGTGTTTAAAATTACAAGACCTCTCATTTGATATCAAGAAAAAAGGGCTGATCCCCTAAATTAGGGGCTGAGAGGGGCCAAAAGTCTTTTATGTATAACTCTTGAACGATCAATATTTTGTAATACATTACTGAAGCAAAGATGCTTATCTTAACAATTTACAACAATATATGATAAGATTCTGATCATATGTTACATAATAAGGGGTCACAAGGGGCCAGAATGCTAAGTCTTTGACGCATTATATCTCGAAAAGGGGGATTATTTTGATAACCAATGCTGTACAAAAGATGGTCTGAATAATGTTCTAAACAATATGCACCCTTTCAATTTTTGTCAAACAGCCCCATTAAGGACTTGGAGGGCTGGCCAATAAATATTTCAATTCAGCATATCTCCATACCGAAAAGAAATCTCTGAATAGTTGTTGAACAAAAAGTCTTCAAAATCACAAGACCTTTCATTTGATATCAAGGAAAAGGGGCTGACCCTTCAAATTAAGGGCTCAGAGGGGCCAAAAGCCTGTCATATATAGTTCTTTGATAATGTTATATAAATCAAAAAAATGAAATCTAATTAGGGAAGTCTATATATTATTATCTTTTAACAAAGATCATAGTCAAAATCATATCTCATCTTATCGAAAAATCGGACGGAAGACCTACTCGTTGCTCGCAACGAGATCTCATCTAGTTATTCTTTTTTTTTTCTTCTTTTTCCTAGACGCCAACTTTGAGACCTCATATCTCGCTCATTTCTCAACGGATTTTGCTCAAATTTGCAGAGTTTATAGACGTTGCAAAACTCTATCAGAATGCTGTCAAACAATTCAAAAAGTCACTTCTGCTTTTGAGTTATTGCCCTTTAAATGAAAATTTATTAGGCTTCATTTCCAGACAAAGGCTTAGAGACTACAAAAGCTGGAGCAGAAATTCTACCGAATTTAGATATTAGAAAGATTGAAGTTGTGCACATCGGTTTTTGTTTTTCGATTTCTGTATTCAAAATGGCGCTAATTAGGGGTCAAAATTTAGAACGCCTAAAAGAGCGAAAATTTAGACATATTTTCCTTTGTATCTTTAAAACTAAAAATATTTTGATAAGACATGTAGAATAAAAGTTGTGCACAATTTCAAGGCCTTTCATTTGACACCACTAAAAAGGGGCTGGCCCCTCAAATTAGGGATCTGGAGCCCTGTAAAGTTTTTGCTTTATAACTCAAAAACGGTAAATATTTCGAAATGGCTGTCGTTAAAAAAGTTGTTCTTTAACATCTTATTGATTTCATGAAAATGTTATTTTGTTCGAGTCTTGTGTTTTAAATGCGCCAGAAGCTTGACCCATATACAGGTAACTGTTTCCATTCAGCAAGTAAACGAGAGCTCTTCATGCGTGTAACTAAAATAAACTTACTATAAATAATAAATCTGGCTACATTAGATGCTAATATTCTTTAGAATAAGGTTCTTGAAGTGTTTTGTGCTTTATTTCGAAGTTTTTTTTTGACAACTTTTCGTTTTATTTCATTTTTTTCAAAGTCGAATAAACCAGTCTACTAAAAAAAAGGGGAAAAAAGATAACCTTTTCTTCTTATCATATAAAAACAAACAATATACTGAGAAAATAAAACATAACTTTGAAGCATAGACTATTTACAGCCATTAAATGTGCGCCTTTTACATTCACCTTGTGTGTTTTTAATTATGTAACACCTCCCTCGATAGCGCGTGGCAAAGGAGGTCACCGGAGATCCATCGGCGTGTGATCCAGCGACCTAGTCATACACAAAACAAATCATAGAATGGCCATTCCAAATTCATTTTGTAAACTAAGTCATGAGTGGATAAATATGTTGAATTTTTCAGATTATTTCATAATATCTTTGATTAAATCGCTAGTGTATTTTATTTAGTATTTTATTCGCCGAATTACAGGAAAGTTGCATAGTTATTTTTATAAACAATTTATTTCTCGATATCAGTTAATTGTCTGTTTTATTCATAATAAAATTCAAAATATGTAACCTTAATTAATTCCTACTAGTAATGGAACTTTTGAAACTTAAATGTACATGTATGTAATCTAATATACGTTCTTTTGTCGACGCACTTAAAATGTACAACTGTAACAAGCGCCCCAAATATATGCATATCGAGCGTATGGAAATACAAAATCCCACATTCACACGCGCCTCCAAAATATGTAGAATGAGACATACATGCGTAACTGTATTTGAATATTACAAATTTATTAGACACCTAACCTTGAACAATTTTTTTCTACTAAACTTGTTATTGTATGCGAACAAAATGATAAACATGTAATTATTTATAGGTTCCCATTATTTTTTCTGAAAATCAGAACACATTTATCAGCTATCTTAAGGTTTTACGGATACATACAATGTACACGCATGCAAATACAGAACATGCACGTTTTATAAGTGCATATGTAAGAGCGCCCCAAATATATGCATATCGAGCGTTTGAAATTCAGAAAAATTCTAAATCCCAAGTCTTTTTTTTCCCATTATCTTTGCAATAAAAT